TAGAAATACCCATTATCTATGAGCATGATCATAATATATAAATAGCCTAAGAAAGTTAAAGAAATTTTCAAAGTGAGTGCCTTTGGCATATGAAGAAAATAAAGGGGATCATTGGAAATTGCAGTAAATATAGAATCTATATCTAATACAAATCCAAAACACAAAGATCTGCCAGCAGAATTCAATTTCAAACATTCTATGTTAATTCCATATGATTTTAACTCTTTTTTTTCCTTGCAGGGACAGTAATTCCTTTAGTTCCTATGCATAAGAAATGTATATAATGAAGCATTTCATTGTTTTCTGTGCACTGATTATCTTGTATTATAATATGTGTTTGTCTTAATATCTAGGCACAGCAAGTCTAGATGTCTTGGGGCCTTATAAGGTAGTTGGGTCAGTTCATCATGCTCCAGGCAGTCCTGACTTTTTGTGGCAACCATACCACTTCTCTTCCATTATACCATTTTTCACTATGTCTTACCAGCTAAAGTCCAGGAAGAGATCAACCGTGTGGTTGGCCGACACCGGAGCCCTTGCATGCAGGACAGGAGCAGCATGCCCTACACGGATGCTGTGGTACATGAGATCCAGAGATACATTGACCTTATCCCTATGAGCCTGCCTCATTCAGTGACCCGTGACATTAAATTCAGAAACTACTTCATCCCTAAGGTAAGCTGGTTTCTCTCACACTGCACTTCAGTGCTCATGAAGTTTGCATATTCCCTGTATGGTTCCACTCCCTTACAACATAAAATGAGAGAAGTTGGAAACTCATCTGTGTGGCATCTTGATGGACTGTGTGCTCTTTGCAGTTTTGAGCTAGAGCATTTTGAAACATCTTGATTTATGTCTTCTATTTTTTGTGCTGTAGTACTTTTGGGGTGCCTTTTTTCAACAAATGTATTTATTAGTCCATTTTAAGAATGAGGTTGGGGCCCTCATCACTCTCTACTTCCTTACTGTGGACACTATGTGACCAGCTACTTCATGCTCTGGCCACCATATCTTCCCTGTCATGAGAGATTAGATCTATTGGAATTATGAGCCAAAATAGACCCTTCCTTCCTGAAAATTAAAAAAAAATGTGTAAAAGTATGAGTTTTCCAATTTCCCCAAACATTTCACATACATGTTTATCAAGGTGATCTTACATCTAGTGGAAAGTATATTTTGATGATGAATCTTTCATGGATATGATTATGCTCCAAATTTGTCTATCTTTAGTTTTCTCAATACTTTATATTATAGTCACTTATATATCTATTACTTCCTCCATAAATATGTTACTGTGAACAGTATGCCCTTTAAAAACATTTTTTCCATTCTTTTGTTTATTGTATAGAAATACAATTTATATTTTGGGTGACTTTGCATTTAGAAACTCAGTTAAATTCACTTATTGTTGTTAATAATTTGTTTGGAAATTACTTTGTAATTTCTGTATATGGAGTTCTGTGATCTGATTTAAGATTTATTTTATTTGCCTTATTATCTTACATTAATGTTTTTAATATTTATTTATTTTTTATCTTATATGTATAAGTATTTTGTCTGCATGTATGCAAGTGTGCTTGTGTTATGCAATGCCTCTGGAGGATAGAGGAGGGTGTCAGATTCCTTGAAACTGGAGTTAGGGATGGCTGTTAGCTGTTGTGTGTGTGCTGGAAACCACACTTGGATCCTTTGCATGAGCAGCCAGTGCTCTTAACCACTGAGCCATCTCTCCAGCCCGATTCATGCTGTTTTGTCAGAGATTTATATATAATCTGATAAAATGGATTTTCTTCATCTGTTGATCTGATCATATTTGGCCCAGCCACCTGAGTATTTGGGACTACAGACATGTACCATCAGGACTTATTCCAGAAGAAAAGTTTTGAGATAAGTTGTAACTTCCATGATGCCTCCTCAGGGACAGGGAAAATTTCTTTACATATCCCCAGGAGCACTACATCTAATGTCCAAACACTTTCCTCAACATGATAACATCATCATTGTTGGTCTATGTTAGTGGGGCTTTGAGAATGTCCAAGACTATTGGTTGCATTGGTTCTTTGAGAATTTCTTTTTAAAAAATATTTTATTTATTATTTTATTTGTATGAGTGTATTGCTTGCATAGGATCATGTTGGAGGACATTTGGTATTCACACGATAACAACTGATGTAGTTCATTCAATTATGTCACATTGGACTAAAATCCAGGAGAAAAGAAAATGTCCAAACCAGGACTTAATAATTGGCACGTGGTGCTTATGTACCTCACACTTTGCTTTTCTCCTTTTCATTTAATTTTTGAGAATTTTATGAAATGTATTTTGATCATATTCAGATCCCCTCCCCCATCTCCATGCCACCCTACTATTCTCCCTGCCTCTGACTTCGTGTTCTATTATTATTTTTCTTTTTTTTTTAAAGGCCTATTGAGTTTAATTTTTGTTCTCTCAATGTTCTTGGGTGTGAGTCCCATTCCTTGGAGTCTGGTCAACCTACCAGGTGTCATGTCTTTAAATAAAACTGACTTTCCCTCTCCCAGAAGCTATCAATTACAAGTAGTTTCTTGGTTAGGGCTGGGGCTTCTTCCTACTTCCCCTATCCATGCTGGGTTTTTGTCTGACTTGGGCTTCCACAGTTCTCTTGCATGTTGTCACAAACACTGTGGGTTCATATGTGCAACTTCCCTGTGGTGCCCAGACAACAGAATTTCCTTATATTCATCTAAAACCTTTGGATCTTACAATCTTTATGGCCTCTCTTCTGCAATGATCCTTAACCCTTGGGAGGAAAGGGCATGATATGGGTGTCATATAGGGCTGAGCACTCCAGTCTCTTGTTCTCTGCACACTGACCAGTTGTGCATTCTTGTGTTAATCACCATCTGCTACAAGAAGCTTTTCTGGTGAGAGCTGAGAGATGCACTAATATATGGGTATAACTGTAAATCATTAGGAGTCAGTTTAATACTATATCTATTTAGCAGAATAACAGAAGTAGGTTCTTCCCTATGGCCTCTGACCTGTCTAGCCAGAGGTTCTTAGCTCTGATAACAGTGCCAGGTATGGGCTCCATCTTAAGAACTGGGCTTTAAATTCAAGTAGAAAGAGGTTGGTTATTCTGTATTTGTGTCACTATTGCACCAGCAGGCATATCTTTTCAGGCTAGTTGTTATTGTAGCTTGCACGGTTCACAGCTGGGTGAAGTTGATTTACATTTCTCTTTTAGTAACATGCATAGCACCTTTCAGCACTATGAGAGCGAGCTAGTAGAGATGAAGCTTTGAGGTCAGTATCAGCTTGATTTCTCTACAGTATTTTCTATAACACTGTAATGTCTTCAGCAATAGAGTCGCTATTTTTAAAATAATTTAAACATTTTAATTTAAAAAATCTTATGTGTATGAGTGTATTGCCTGCATGTAGGTAGGTGCACTCGTGTTGTGCAATGCCCACAGAGGACAGAGGAGGGTGTCAGATCCCCTGGATCTGGAGTTATAGACAGATGTTAGCTGCTTTTTGTGTGCTGGGAATCAAACATGGGTCCTCTGCAAGGGCAGCCAGTGCTCTTAACTGCTGAACCATCTCCCTAGCCCTACATTATTTTTCTACTTAATTTTTTTGATCATTGAGGGTCTATAGAGCCCCTCCCCATCCTCACCTCCCCTTATTGCCCCCTGCCTAACTTAATGAACTCTATTGTATGTACAATAATGCCTATAGAGTCTAATTTGTGTCTGCAAATACCTTTCAGTTTGGGTCCATCCACCAGAGCCTGATTAACTCACTAAGAGTCCCATCCTTGAAAGAGACTGACTCTGTCTCTCTCAGTAGACATCTCTTGTCACAATTTCCTTAGGTGAGATTAGGGTTTCTTACCCACTTCCCTATGTGTGTGCTTGGATTTTTTTCTGTGATCATCCACCACCTGTGGCTCTTACAATCTTTCCACCCCCTCTTCCACAATGTCCCTGACCCTTGGAAGGCAGAACTTTTATCTAGGTGTCTATTCAGGGACAGATACATCGTGGCCTCTTGTTCTCTGCACATTGGCCAGTTGTGGGTCTTACCATCTGCTTCATAGGAAACGTGATTCAACCCATTGCTTTACCTTTTCAAATGTAATATGTCACCTAAATGGAAACATTTATGTTCAATATCAGCTTTTCAGGGTTTTTTTTTTTTGGTAGGAGAATATGTATGAAATGTGTTATGTTATTGTCCATATCTTTAGTTTGCTTTTCATTCTTAGGTAAGACTGCATATTGGTTGTCCTATTACTAAGTGGTAGATGTTTGGGACATTTATAGAGTTTGACTCTGAATACAGGTGCTTTACATATAGATTTTTTTTTTGGTCTTTTTGAGAACGGGTCTCTCTGTAGCCCCAGCTGTCCCGGAACTAACTATGTAGACCAGGATGGTCTTGAACTCACAGAGATCCACCTGCCTCTGCCTCCCAAGTGCTGGGATTAAAGGCATGCACCACCACGCCCCGCTACACATAGGTTTTTATGTAGACATGAAATTTCCTTTTTACTGGTAATACTTGAGGGCAATATTGTTAACATGTTGATTTTTATCCCAAGAAGCCATCCTGCTTAGTACTGTGGCTGCACCACATGTATTTATTGATCATTCATGGATCTTCTTTGGTAATATAGCAGTTCAAATCATTTCTATATTTTATAGGGCCATTTTATTTTTATTGTTTAATTCTTGAGCTCTTTATATATTTTGTATTAACTCATTTCTTTTGGCTTTTTGAGACAGGGTCTCCCTGTAGCCCCAGCTGGCCTGGAGCTGGCTATGTAGACCAGGCTGACCTTGAACTCGGGTCGCCTACTGCTGCTTCCCAGTGCTAGGATTAAAAGTGTGTGCCATCATGCCCTGCTTTAACTTACTTTTAAATCATAGATAAGCTTTACAAGTTTCTCCTCTCAGGCTGTGGCTTTTTATTTTTTCTTTATGTTGTGCATATATATGTGTGTATGTATACAAATATATACATATAGTCAGGTCAGTCTCAAGATTGCTAAGTAGCCCAGGTTGACTTTGAACTTTCAGATCTCATGTTTTCTCTCCCAAGTGCTAGAATAATAAGTGTGTGACACTATGCTTGACTTTTATTTTTTAGTTTCTTAAGAATCTCTTAAAAAGAGTATTAGTTTTAAGTTTTGATGAAGTCTAATTCATCAATAATATTTTTCATGATTTATATCTTTGTGTCCTTGATAAAATATTATTTGCTGCCACGAAATAGATGTAGTTATTCTTCTAAAAGTTTTAACCCTGGGGCTGGAGAGATAGCACAGCGGTTAAGAACACTGACTGTTCTTCCAAAAGACCTGGGTTCAAATCCCAGCATCCACATGGCAGTTAACAACTGTTCATAACTCCATGTCCAAGGCAATCCGAAGCCCTCTTCTGACCTCTGTGGCATTGCATGGCATGGTTGCACTCACATACATTCAGGCAATACACTCACACACATAAAATAAAAATAATAAAATATTAAAAAAGGATAATTTTTGTTTGTGGTATGAGATAAACATAACCTACATTTCTTTATAAATATCTATTTGTCCCAGCTATTTGTCAAAAATATGTTTCTTTTTATATACTAATGTTTTCAGGAATTATTGTGAAACTATAAAAGAAAATAATTTAAGGGTTAGAGAGGTGGCTCAGTAGTTAAGAGCACTGGCTCCTCTTGCAGAGGACCGGGATTCAGTTCCCACCACACAAATGGTGCTTAACAACAGCCCATAACTCCAGTTCTAGGGCCTCTATCACCCTCTTCTGACCTCTGTGGGCATTACATGACATGGATGCTCTTACATACATGCAGGCAATACACTCCTACATATAATATAAAAATAAAAATAAAATATTAAAAAACATAATTTAAACTAGTAATATGTGCAAGTGTTTTAAAAATAAAATTATAGACCATCATAAACAGAAATATAGGGTTTAATTTTTCATTAAAAGTGAACTTTTCATTAAAGATATTGATACTTATAAATTATTTTAAAATGGATATGTATGCTTGTGTATTGATGTATAATATGCATATAATATGTAAAAATATCTTTATAATGACATTTTAATCCATTTAGTCTATCACACTTAATACTGAAACACCAGTATACATCTCTCAGGAACCAGGACTTTCTGCAACACATTGATAACCACATTCACACTGAAAGAATTATGATCAGTACAGTAATATTATCCAATAAGCAGCTTAAAATTATATTTTTGTAGTTATACTATCTTTGTTGTTTTTATTGTTTTTGATCTTTTGATACAGGGTCACCCTGTAGCCCCAGCTGGTATGGAACTCGCTATGTAGACCATGCTGGCCGTGATCTCACAGGGAACTGCCTTATTCTGCCTTCTGAGTTCTAGGATTAAAAGTATGTGTACCATCCCTGGCTTCCACGATATCTTTTATAGTTTTGAGAGGGAAAACTTCTCATAGTGCAAAGAAGGAACAAGTCTTCAATTTAGTTCTCCAAACTTTAGAACATTTCTTTTTCTTTGTTTCATTTTTGATACAGTGATTTCTTTTGAAAAGTCAAAGTCACTTGTTAATGTGAACTGCTTTTCAGTTTGGTTTTGCATGAAAGTTTTCTTGAGGATTAGAATCCAAGTATGTGTTTTGAACAGGGACAGTTGAGTTGATATTAAATGGCCTGCGTCCTCAGATTGTGGCTCTTGGCACACTGGTCTCTTTGTTGATGATGCTAAAGTTCACATTTCCTAACAGAGTATCTTCAGATTTCTCTGCCACTGAGGTTTTGTATTTCAGATGGAAAACAAAAAAAAATTAAACAAAACCCTGGAGAACAGAACTTGATCTTCAGATATCCAGCAGTTTTAAAAACCAGCTAATTTTTTTAAAGACAAGTTATCACTATGTAACCCCAGTTGACCTGGAACTTGCTACATAGACCATCTCAGGCTGACCTCCATCTCACAGCAATCCTCCTGCCTCTGCCTCCTGAGTGTTGGGATTAAAGGCATTCATGCACACCAAATTCAAACATCAGTTAATTAAAAACATTTTTTGTCAATTTTCTGTACATATATAATGCAATCTGATAACATGTACCCCTCTACCTTATCTTATCTGTCTTCCACCCTTCACGAAACCCTCTCCTCCCAACAATTTCTCTTCCCACACTCATATGTCTTTGTTTCATGAACCACTGAGCTTCATGGAGACCACAAATATTCACAGGGGTACAGAGCTATCCTCTGGAGCATGGGGCCCTCTTCAGTGGCTGCATCACTACAGACAAGTCCCCTGCCCAAGGAGCATTAGTTGATGAGCCTTGCTTCATTGATAGTCCTCAACTGTGAAATGATGATGGTTCTCATTTTCACCCATCCTGTGTTTTTAAGGTACGCTCATATGTGATGATGAGGTCCACACAGTTTTACTAAATTATAAGAAGCACGTATCATATCTCAATGATAAGTATCAAAAAGTGTTGGTCTACTTGCTGATATTATCCCTGAAGTCATCATTAACCAGATTGTATCTCTGCTTAGTGGAAGCTTAAATGAGACAATTCTAAATTCTCCTAACTTTTCAAGAGTGGACATAGGCTTCAATTTAAAACCATAATTGACGAGTTGTGCAAGAACTGAGGTGTTGAAACACAGCAGCAGGCCAGGGCAGGCTCCAGTCTTCAATCTTGATGATAACTAGAGCGATTCAGAGTTTTTACACCCAAATTCTCATGTACTCAATCCTTCCATTGCTAATGGCGATCACAATGGCAGTCATTGCTCCTGGCCTTAAACTCATCTCTTACTTGGTCTGACTGTGTGAAAATGTCACTACTCTTCTTTGGACTTGTTATCTTTATCTTTAAGTCAAATGGATTGATCTAAGTGAGTTCCTTGTTTTCTTTCCATTCAGCGTTCATTTTGTTGGTTTGCTATCTGCAGGGTACCACCATAATAACGTCACTGACATCCATGCTGCATGATGACAGAGAATTTCCCAGTCCTGAGAAGTTTGACCCTGGCCACTTTCTGGATGAGAGTGGCAACTTCAAGAAGAGCGACTACTTTGTGCCTTTCTCAACAGGTAATAGAATATTTCTATTGGCACTTTGGAGGATAAGACAACTTTTTAGGATCAGATGCAATTTCCATTGCTCTTTGTATGTCATAAGGAGCACCACTTGAATGACTGTGTGCTTTCCCTGATTATGACAACATCCTCTTTGTTGGGACACATTAGTGGGATCTGCAAATAGTTTAGTATAGTTTTTCCAAGATGAGAAAGCCAGGGTCTATTTATTGATTAAATTTGGTCCCTGGATGCATCACTATCTGTTCAGGAGCTCCTCTTTGGAGTGAACTTTGTTTAGACTTTTCTCACCTGCCATAGGAAAGGCATCTAAGTCTATACTTTGAGTATCTCCTCAGTGATGTCCCTCACTCCCTGAGAGCTCTGGGAATGCAACTATCCTAGAGAATGTAAAGGGCTCTTAAGAGACTCACAACTGAGTTAGGGAAGGTGGTGAGTAAACGTCACTGTAACCCAGTGGATTAGTGCTGTGAGAGAGGGAAGCTCAGGTTTCTCAGGGGATTCGAGGGAAGTTGCTCACATTCTGCTCTTTCATACACCAACATGTTCTCACAGGACAAGGAAAGTTGTGTGACTCATAGGGAGCAAGGAAGCAAGACAAGAGGAGGAGGCACTTTAGAGAGGAAATGGAGTGCAGGAGGGACATTTTCTGAAGAGGCAGTGGGTCAGAGCCTTCCAAGTAAATGCAGGCTGAGAAAGGCCTTGGCCTTGTGGATGGATAGTCTGCAGTGATTCCAGAGCCCCTTGAGTTTTCTTTACTCGTGATAATGCTCTTGTTCAACTGAGTCTTGGGACATGGAGTCACCTTCATTTTTTACTACAAGGTTTGAGTCCTGTGTTGGATCTAGAAGTGTACATACCAAGATGTGCATGGTGAGCCTTGTTTTAAGAAACTCATATTTTGCCAGGGGGGTACTTATATGCCTATATAAGTGTGATATTCTCAAACAGAAAAAAAGCATAGAATGCAAGTGATGCCTGCTCCTGTGTAATCAAGCACATAATGATGAAACCCAGAGGGGTGAGATTGTTGTGAGTTCAGAAATGATCATAAGAGGAAGTAGCACAGATCATAGGTCCTGAGGGAAGGATCAGAGCAGCGCTTGTTGGTCACCTGGGGCGGATCAGACAGGAAATGGAACGTCAGGGTCCACTTGGATCTTACCTCATAGCTGGGCCAGGATCTTTTCAGCTACAGATTATTCTGTACACCAGGCTGACCTCAAATTGCTGATCTTCCCAAGTGCTGGGATTTCATGTATATGCCACCACACCTGGCTTCTATTTAAAGTTTTAAAGTAGGAGAGTGACATGTTTAGTCAGGTGGTTTTGAAATAAAGTAGGAGGAAAAAATGTGGCAGGAGGTACAGAAGGAAACTACATTAATGCCTTCTTAGACGTTGTTCCTTGGACCACTACATAAGAAATGCTAAGATTTATAAACTTGAAATGTCAAAGGAGCAAAATTGGGGGAGTGGTTATTGCAAGTAGATAAGTTGAAGTGAGTGAAGAGTGCTTGACACACTGAATTACAAATGTAATACATTTAACATTTCTAGTGCATCTGTCTAGTCAACCATCCTTCCAATTATGGGTGTCTTCCATCCACTCATCTGATTAATTCTCATCAGCTACTCACTGCATACTCTCCACGACAATTCATAGCATTATATTTGAGGAACAAATCTGTTTTCTGTTTTCAGGAAAGCGGATGTGTGCAGGAGAAGGCCTGGCTCGCATGGAGCTGTTTTTGCTCTTCACCACCATTTTACAGAATTTTAAACTGAAGCCTGTGGTTGATGTAAAGGACATTGACACCACCCCAATTGCCAGTGGCCTTGGCCATATGCCGCCTTTGTACCAGCTGTGCTTCATTCCTGTGTGAGGGCAGAGTCCCTATGCTGCCACCTGCAGCTTCTCCACGGGGGCACTGCCACCTCCTTCCTGGGTTACGGTTGCTTTGTCCCCCATTTCCCCATTCCCTCAAGATCCAGTGGATATCCAACCTCATTACGCTGAGCTCTCTGGGTCAGTGCACATGT